TCTTAATGGATGTTTTGAATTGTGACTAGATAAAGTATTTGATACCTTATGCCATTTAATTTGTATCATTCAACTCAAAGATTTCATCAAGTTGAACTACATTTCTCACAGGCAAATTCAGAGAATAGAAATATTGTGAGACATTCTCAGCAACACTTTAATTGTGCCTATAAATAAAAATAATATAAACGTATCCTCTGCTATAGAGAATTTATGAGCCAGATTTTCTCTAAACAACATTGAAAGTTTCCCCTTCCTGTCTGCTTGCCTCCCTCTCTCATCTTTAATAGGCATTATGGTTGGTTACCACACACCAAGTTCATTTAGCACACACTAAATTTCCCAAAAGTTAAGATCCTCCTTTACAGCATTAAAAAAAAAAAATCCTTTCAATGATATAAATGAACAGCACATTTTTTAAACAGTTGTAAACTCAGATTAACCCTAAATATTTTTCTGCTCCTACAAGTCAAACTGACCAAGAAAATTCAGGATTTATTTGTCTTTTCTAAAATGCACATTTTAAATTATTGTGCCAATGATGCAGCAATCTCAAGGAAGATTCATATTGAAAGGCCAAAAATTGACTTACTATCATAATTATCTAGAAATATTCCAAAGATATTTTATTCAGTATCATCACTATATCACTGCCTTTGCTGACATCGTAACGATGTAACTAGTTATGTAGTTATGTAGTTACTAGTTAGGTAATATTCTCACCTCTGTATGGTCTTCCTATATAGCATAGCCAAGGCTAAGGATTTATGGATGAAAACTGTATCATGAAAATCCAGAGAGATAGCAACAATACAAAAAAGGCAACCATATTAATACCCAAAAATTTCTGAAAGAAATCAGCTTTTGACCATGCAGTTCTTCATAACATCTGTTTAGTAAAGGCATCTTACCAGCTGTCAGCACCAGTTATGTAATATTAAGATTCTACCTTAGAATTTTGATTATAAATAGAAAAGTTTTAGATATAGGTCATTATTGGTTTCTATTTATTGCAACAGGAGTACTATTGTCTTTGCTAGCTTCAGTTCTTTTAATTACGAAAGTGTATTGTTATTACTATTAAATTCATTGATCAGATAGCAAATGTTATGCACAGATTTGAGCAGAGTTTTGTAATTGAAAGGCACCTTTAGGTATTGCTTTTGCTCCATTAGGCAACTTTCTGTACAATATAGCTCCTGATATTTGAGAGATAAAAGTATCATCCCTGGTAAACTATTCTGTTTCTAACACTGGAAAGGTCTCCTGACATTCAGCTTAAATATTGTACTGTTCCGATTAATTTATTCTTACATATATTCTTGTTAATGTGCTCTAAACAATTTCACTCTTCTCTGTGAAAATCACATGCTGTGTGAGATATAAAATGTCCTTTTCCTTTTTCCTTTTCCATCATAACTTCCTTTAATTGCATTTCATTGTGTGGTCACTTACCTGACATGTGTCTAGAAAGCACCAATTCCAGCGTTATCATGGAGCGAGAGAAAGGTCATTGAGCATGCTCTGAAAGACTTTACATTCCTAGTGATTATTAGTATTACTTGTGTTTCAGAAGTTGCTATCACATGGTAAACGATATCTAAGATATTTACATAGAGTCAATAATCCTTTCCAGAAGTCCCAAAACCACAGGAAGAATTATTACATCTGAAGGTCACTGGAAAAAAAAAAAAATTTACTTTTCTATATATATGTCATATCACAATCTCGGATTAGGATGGGATTTGATAGTTTACAAGTAAAAAACATGAGAGAAAACAATTGCAGAGGTGGGATCAAAACAGAGAGACCCAAGCCTTGCTAATGTTTCCTTTCATTGTTCATCCAATACCACTATATCTCTAAATATTTTTTGCAACTGCTACAGCTTGCTTCCTTTGTGAACTCACAGTGAGAAACCAGGAGAAATAAGAACATTTGCTAACAAGGAATAACCTTCAAAATGCATTTTCCTTTATTCTTTTTGTTTTAATCAGTCTTCATTCACCCTGATTCCATGAAACAATGGTATTAAGCAACTGCCTATTATTTTGGTTAGTTGAATTAGATCATGAGGAATAACATAAAAAATTGCCCCAAGTATCCAGCTTAGAGCAGCAAAATTTGAGAGTGCTAGAGGGCAAAAACCCCAATCTGTAAGAGCTATAGCCCAGTGTTACTCCATCTCACAAACAGGTAGTTAATCAGGATATGAATCATTAAGAACAAAAAGCAAGTCATTCCTTAGGTTGTCTGCAGTTCTCTGCCTGAAAAATTCACTAACCAATGTAATTAATCATCTAACTCTTCCTTCAGGTAAGTGAAAGCAATACAGCATAAACCATTTTTAGAGAATATGAAAGATGCATTGAAAAAAATCAATATATCAGCAAATGTTGACTTTGGAGACTACATCTCTTTTTTTATTAATATAATGTAGTTGTATCTGTGGTATATTTATATTTTCCTTTTCCAGGCATTTTGTTTGTTCTTGTTTCTCTTTCTTTTTTTGACTGATCAATTCATAATCAAATCTTAATAATCAATGATAAAAATCAAATTAAGTGTACGTACTTAGCTAAGGTGGTGCCAATTTTCATGATCACGTATGTTAATGTGATAAACCCCATCGCCTCCTATTACTCATTTAGACCCAATTTAAGACCATAAGTCAGAGAAAAATTCCCCTCTGGTTACTGGTCAAGTATATTTTAAGACTGAATACTTTCCTGAAATTACATACCCATACTAGGTCCCTAAACTCTGAGATCTGTAAATTCTGGCAGAACAGAATCATTTAATTATAAATTTCCAGCATGCCTCAGCATGACCATGCTCTCTGGTGATGCAACACACGGCTAGAGTTAGCGCAGCACACAGCCTGTGAGGTCAACAACAATTTCCTCTGTTGTAAAAAATTAGGTGTGCCACTTGCACCCCTGGCAACATAGCAAAATTGCAAAACTGATTCCCCAGGTGAGTAAAGCTTCCACCAAATTAATCTAATTTTTTACAGTGTTTCGAAAGCAATCTGCTTTAAATGAAAAAGTAATGCTGCAATACTACGTTAAGGATTTCATCTGGCTCTCACCCATGCTTAGGTCAACTTGTCGTTTCATGGATTTTACAGCAAGGTAAAATTACTCAAATATGTTGCAGATTATAACTAAGGGCCAGCAAAGAACAGAATATCTGCTGTGTATACACCTAACCTTGCTTTATTCACTTCAGCTAGACCTTCACAGCTTTTATGTAAGGCAGCCATTTTAATTGACTTTCACCAAATTATTTTTTTTTTTTAAGGATGGAAGGAAAGTCTTTCACAAACATATTTCCCCCTTATCTGAGCATTGTGTCGATCACAGAACTTAGTCTGCTACAGACTTAAATTCTTCAAGAGCCACTCAGCCACACAGATCCAGAGTATTCCATCAACTTAATACTTTATGCTGAATTTAAAAACATTAAAGAATAATACTCAGCACATGACAGAAGCTCTTTACATACCTGAAAAGAATACTCTGCAACATGTTACAGGAAAATTAATGTGAATCTGGAAGCTTAACCACAGTCAAGAAAGTTTGTGTCAAGTAGGAAGCAGAATAAGTATCATCTTCACCCTGCCTGGAAGGTTGACAGTAAATCCATTGTAACTAGGTCTCAAAGCTGGATCTTCAACGCATTGGATTTTGTGTCTTGTTTTGACTGCTCAACAGGCAAGATCTTTAATCAATATGTTGTGAACAAATTTTTCCATTTCAAAATTTTTTTGGGATAACCCACATTGCTTTTCACAATTTCATCAGCATAAATGTTTTTTTTCCATTGTTTTTATTAATGTTAGACTACTTATAAAGCATACTTCCATTAAATGAGGGATTCACTGAATATGTGTTTTTTATTACATCAGGAAAAACCTCCTAGAACTTGAAAATAGCTATGTTTTTAATAGCATCTGATAGCACCATGAGACATTGACTAGGATCATGGCCAATGTGAAGATATGATCCATATGGTTCATTTTATCATCAAGACAGTTGTTAAGAACACCTTTTTCATTTTTACCACTCTAAGTATATGGACTCTACAAAGAAATAAGCAATTAGAGATATAAAATTAAACTTTGTATTCAAAGTTATGGCAACTCTCTTCTGACTTCTACATGTTCCATGTGAAATAATCCCAGGCATACTGTGCTCAAAAGCAATCCTTTACTATGAGCACAAAGAATCACCTACCACGGGGTCTTTGAAACACACTATATGGTGTTGCCCTCAGCTGGCTCAGTCTAACCTTCTTCCCCAACTAATCCTGTTGCAGTATTTAATACAGGACAGTAGGATTTATACAAGGGCTTGTATGAGTCAACAACAACGACACCCTTCCAAAATATAATAATCTTGGCTCAACTCTGGTTGTTAAAGTAACCCTGAGCAGAATAAAAAAGACAAATTTAGAGAAAAGGAAGACTTAAAATATTTTGTTTAGCAAACAGAAGGGGGATGATAATATTAAGAGGAGACTGGAACAGAAAAGTGGAAAAAAGGTAACATGGAAACTTGCTCTTGCTCCCAGTCTCAGACTTTCCCAACTCCTTTTGACCACCTGTGCCAGGGAGACACTGCTGCTGCTGCTTGCTTTTCCTCTCAGAATTTCAAGCACTGGAATTCCACCCAGCTGATAAATTATGTATCAATACAAATCAATATGTAAGAATACTTATTTTTTTTCTTTTTTTTTCTTTTTTTTTTTTTTTAATTATAGTGATATTTTTGTCTGAATTTTACAGTAAAAGACCTTGGAGAAAATTTCTGCAGTTAACTTCTTGTGCAAACACCCTGAAAAGTGAACGAAACAGGACAGTGGAGAAGCATTATAAAAATACAGAAATGATTCAGTTTTTGAACTTCACACACATAAGATGTTTGGAAAGGAAAACAGTAATATATGAGCAGCAACAGTACTGTTAAAACAACCAAAGACACCTATACAGATACTTGTTTTTTATTTTTATAAAAAAAGGATCAGATTTATTAGTGCCAATGTATGTTCATAGTAAGGTAACAGAAACTAAACTAATCTGAGTAGCAACTTACATCAAAGGATTATCAAAATAATATTTCTTGTAAGTGAAACATAATACTTCATTTAAACTTGATTCTTGCCAACTAGAAGTCCTTGTTATCTGTCTATGAAGCCTTTAAAGAAAAGTTGCTACAGTCAAACAGGGTCCTGGTAGAACTTGGCACATAAAGAAACAATTCAATTTTCACCCATACAGCACCTCTCACTCCCCTGGAGCACTCACTCATACAATACTTACATAATGCATATACATTATGACTAAAGCCATGTATGGCCTAAAGCACATAGAATATCTCAGTTCTAAATGTAACATATCTCTACATCAAAAGCAGGTCATTGTATTTACAGCAGATGATCTTGCTCTGCAGATGGGGCTTTTGCTTGAAGATCCTTTTGTTAACATGTGCTAAGATGTTCGAGTCGTCGAATTATTTATCAAATTAGAGGTGTATCTACAGGAAGATCTGTCTGACCGTGTGCGAGGATTCTAAGGCAATAGTAGTAGTTGTTCCACAGGACTAGTGCTGCCATTACAACCCACTCTCCCTTGGAGCAGTAAAGCCTTCCTTCTCCAGATGCAGCCAGGTGTGGTGAGACATTCATGATCTGCAAGCTGTTGGCTCAAAAGTCTAAAACTTCTTAGTTTGTTTTTGTTTTTAATGTTCATGGAATAGCACCATAGGAATTCACTCTTGATAACAAACAAATCCTGGGTCTGTTGTAATGTTTTTCTTTGCTTTTTTCACCATCACTCTTACTCATCACTTTTGTCATCGTCTTACTCCCAGAAAAAAACCTCTTTGGGAAACCTGACTCTTGGATAGTACTGCAGCTTCATTTCCAAGTAGCTAAACCAGACAATTAGCTCATTCACAAAGAGGTCCGAAGAAATAAAGCTTAATAGTGGTTCCAAATGTACTGCTGAAAACAAATTCAGTAGGAGGCGTTCTAGATGATCCTTGACTATTTCTGTTTCTCATGGATACAGGTTTTGATTTGGGACAGGTTTTCATCTCAGTCTCTTTCTATGTTCAGTGCAAAATAAGAGCACATCATCAGAGATAGCTTACTTAATTAGTAAACCAAACATTTTCAGATGCTTACGCTGTTCAAATTCAGTCAACAAGTGATTGGTCAACTGGTGATGACCTATGTAACAGCTCAGACTTCTCAGTCATTAGTAAAACAAAATACTCTAAAGATCAGTTATGTTTCAGAAGTCGGATTTTCCAGTTTCAAAACACTGATAACCTGATATGACAGATGAATTTGTAAAAAATACAGAACAATGCAGGAAGACCTTCCCATTTCATTTCTTCTTTCAAGTCCTTGTACACACGTTAAACTGGATACAAAGTCAAAGCAACTAGATATAAGGACAGTATTTTGAATGCGTGACCTGAAAGAGCTTTTTTTCCTCCTGGACCCATACCATTGTCAGAAGGAAGAATGGTTTGGACGGTCACTTCCCCTGAATGCAACTGATTGAATCTGTACGCATCTAAGACAAATGTCAAACCATGAAAAACAGCTTTTATATTCTCCCTGCATGCAAATTCTTTTCACAAGCTTTGCAGAGACAGTCAAGTATGGAGTCTGCCATCATCATCTTGACTATTCCACTGGGATAGGTGACTTTTTTTTAATTTTATTTGAGTCTCTGGTCTTATAAGTCATCATTTCAACTGAACTCATATAAAACATTTGTGCTAATAACTTCAGTTTAAAAAAAAAAAAAGACATGCCTTCTTTCCTTTCCACTGTGCATTCTTTCTTCTCACTCTCCTTTTCTGGCATAGAGGTTCTTGTGTTATTTTTTGGTGTGCACGCTATCTGGATATTTTATACTTCTGTATCGTATATGAAATCCTTTCTTGTTGATTGTATCATCAGTGTGAAAGTGAAGTAAAAGAGTTTCCCCTGCTGAATAAATTTCTTCTGGTGGCTAAAATAAATGAATAAACAAATAAATTATCTGCCCACTGTGTATTTATCCCCTTCATTCACTTTTTTTGGTGGTTTTTTTTTTTTAAGTGGATATTTATCTTTTCCTATTATGCCTTGTCATGTAATTCCACTGGGTCTCATACAATGCCATCTGACATCCTCAAACCAAATAGTTCTGTCTCACTCAACTCTCAACTATAGGCTAGGAATTTTTGAGGCAGACTGAAGATCTGACAACCTAATCTCCTAAGAGCTGTAGGTCAGCTTAAATAATGATGTTTGAATATTTATCTGCTGGCAGAAGCTTTAAAATTATCTGTTATAAAATTTTGCTTTTGTATTAATGTGCACACTTTCAATCTTGAGCTCTAAAGATTGGGCCTGAAAAGCATCTTTTTGTACAATCTAAATAAATGTGGCATCATGCTTTCTGCATCTAATTTAACTTCTCCAGTCTGTATGGAGCATCTCTGCAATCTTTTCTTATGAGAAAAAGAAAACAAAGCTCCTTGCTCTTCTATCCTTCCCAGATGTCTTCTATAGTTCTGGTGGTAGGAAATAGTGACTTTCTCCCACTTCAGTTTGGATTATTTTGCTTTCAATAGCTTTTCTATTTAATTCTGTCTTTCCCATGTGGCCTTTGATATTCGTCCATATCTTACCAGAACCAAAACAAAACAACACTAAAATCCAGCCTCATCATCACCACACCACTATCACTCCCATCACTCTTCCCACAAGCCCCAGGTTGGGCCATTCTCCAGTTTGTTGCCCTCCTACTTGTAAAATAGGGCAACTTGCAAAGAAAAGTATTGTTTTGTGTGAGTTAGTAGATGTTAGACTCAGCTGTAGCATTTCCCTTAGAATATACTGCCTGCAGCTCAGTGTTACCTCCTGCATGTTTAAGTGTTCAAAAATGCCTTGAAAGGATTTAAGCCAGTTTACAGGTAATTCATTTGAATGACTGAGATGTTTGATCCAGCACTGTGGCTGAATCAAAAAAAAAAAAGAGACACATGGTTAATTAAAATCTCCTATCATTTCATGTAAAGCCTTTCAAACCTTCTATTTTAGGCAGAGCTTATGCCTGACAGTGTGCTTACATTTCCACACATATAAAGAATTGATGACGACTTGTAGGATCATTGCACCAGCTCTCACAATGCAGGCAGCCAACAGACACATGTAACTCTAAAGAAGAAATAGGATACATCCTTTTCAGGATGACACCTGGCCCATTTTCTCCATGCCTCACAGTTAAAACATATCAGAGATGCGTATGGGATGACAGGGCTTTCTTAAGGTCTACATTAATATCACACCATTTAGAAGCACGTTCTTTCCCTAAAATCAGATCTAAGTAGTAGATGAGCATATTATAAATGCTTCCCAAGCATGTCTCCCCCTGTAAAATGTGGCTTCTTCATTCAAACTGAAAGAATCTGTGATAATTTTCAACATTGGCGCATTTCTGTCTCGATATGGGGAAAAGCTGCTGACTTTTTTTGGGTGCTGGTAAACACTTTGCTGTCAACCACCTAAAACTTAACATAACTTTGGTCAAAACCTAGGAAAAAATATTTATTGTTTAAAATATTTCAAGCAAGTGTTTGCACTACAAGAGTGCAAATTTATATTACAAAATAATCTGAATCAGATATTAGAGTATCTTATAAGGTGTAGTAACTGAACCTTGTCCCTTCTTGACCCTTTCCTTCCTCTTCCCTGTCTTTTTTATTCTTGTTTTTTTTGTAGAAATAAAAAGAAAAATTTTAGTACCTGGTTACTTACCCCAGATCCACAAAACCGACCAAGTCTCACAGCTGTCTTATCATGACCATCAAAGAGCTCCACATAATCATAACCACAGTCTGCCTCTTCTTCCACCTCAAAAGTCTGAAACATTAACTCAACTCGATAACTGTGTTCTGCCACGAGGAGCCAGTCACAGTCTGCCTGAACTGGATAATTGTTATCGCCAAACTGAGCATGCGAGTACAGGTCTTTGGCCTTGGTTTCAGCTTTCAGCCGACCACCACACTCTAAATGGAGGGGAAAAAAAAAAAAAAAAAAAGGATGAAGCATCTTATTGAGTGAAAATCAGCATCTTCTTTTCATGAATGCCCAGCCTTATTCAGGCTGAGTGCATTTTTATGCCATAAGCAGTCAATCAAACAAGGTGTAACGTGAACTACTACCCAGTATGTATAGTATGAATATAAATCCACCATTCTGAGTTTTTCCTACATAAATTCTGGTTTATAACTACAGAGACTTGGGCATATTGGATAAGTTTTAAGTGAAAGACAAAAACAGGGAACACCAAAGTTATATGGAATGTGGTTCAAGCAGTAGGATATACTTTGGGTAGGCTCTTGAGAGGTGTCAGTGGCCTGCAAGGCAAGTGTCGTAAGTGGGGTATCCACATTTCAGTGGTGACAATGTTTCCACATGGGTTAATGACACCGTTTGCAAGCGGCAGGGGAGGATCAGCTCTAGCATACATGTAGTCAGTGATCAAGTGCAAGTGTCTTGCGTTTCATAGGAGTGCCAGCTTTAACTGTCATGCAGTGCCTGGAGAGCTAGCTCAATATTAAACACTACTGCCAAGCTCAATAACGTGTTTGTTGTGTGGTTCATGGACAAGAACAGGTCTTTCTATGCAAAAGATCATGGCCAGGAGAAAGCTGCTACGACCAGAGAGTCTTGTACCTGAAAAGCTTGCTCTTGAGGGAATTCTTGAGCAGAAGAGCCTTGCCTTATGCCTAAGTCTTTATTTCAGTATGAATCTCGATATTTCATAATTTCATAATTTCATAATTTACATATGAATTAACTTTTCTGTATACCTGAATTAGCGGTTCTTTAGCCAGTCTGCTGAAGAACAGAAATTGCTGAAAATGCACTGAATAAAAAAATATATAAAAATACAGTACCTGGTACTTTATCGTTTCTAAATATTTTCAGTAGCTATAATTAAAATTACTATTCTATCCTAAATGACCAGGGAATTCAGTTTCTACAGTAACTTAAATATATAGGTGTTATGCATTTGCCAATTAAAAATGCTATTACAATGCAACAAATATCAAATGGAAAATCGTACTTAAAAGAAAAAAATGCATTTTTTATTAAATTTTCAAGAGATGGATGGAAGCTTTTTTACTTTACAGGTACAAAGATTTCAGTGAAAGCATAATTTAGTTTTGGTTTCTCATCAAGAACAAACCATTTCTCATAGCACCCATAAAAACACCAGTGCAAATGAGCTTGAAACAAAACCTGAGGTTCACAAGTTTAGATTCAATTTTTATAAATGATCAGATAATTCTATATGCATCTTGATCACATGTAGATATTATAAATTGATCATTTTACAATAACCTGAAACAAATTGCAAGATCTGAACGTTTCTAAGCTTTGTTAAAGAGATACTGTGAATTTGACTCCAGTGTCATGGACTCCACACACATTAAACATCCCAACTGCAATGTTACAGTGTCAGGAGTCACATTTCAGCTGGGAATTAATGACAGTAATGAGCAAATCCTTATTTTTTAAAAAACATGTTTGAATTTTCTTAATAAGGAAATGAAGAAATCAAACCAGGAAATATAAGTAACAATAATAATTAGAGTAATCCTTTATGCATCAGCTGTTGTTCAGTCAGAAATTTATAAAGAACAGATAGGAGCACATGATAAAGACAATTTGTCAAATGAGATAGTTCAAACAGTTATTTCCCATTGGTATTATAATATACTGATTTTTTTTCCCCATTTTTTCTGTTTTTGATTTAATATATGTTGTGTTTTGATTTTTTTTTTTTTTTTTGACTGGACTGTTGGCCAACTTTTAGAACATCTCTCTGCTTCAGACACAGAACAGCTGCTGGGGAGAAAATGTGTAATGAACTATCTGCATTTTTTCCCTCTGCTTCTTACAGTAGAGAGGAGCTTAAAGGAAAGTTGTAGCCATACTAACAACTACTGCAAAAAATCCACACTATCTGAACTAGTGAAACAAGATCATAAATTTGATTCAGCATTGTCATACTGAATTATTACAGTCATTCTGGAAGTGACACAGGATCCTAAACTAGTAACATCTGAAATGCCCAAATTTGTCAAGAGATGTCCTCGCAGGGCTGACAGAAAGGGGACCTACAGCAGACCTGCCACCACCTGCAGCAGTGGCTGGAGGCCAGGTACCATAAATGAGTCCATCCAGAAGGGAGCTAGATGCCTGTGTTAGGGCAACCAAATCACTCCTTGAGCAATGATATTTAATATTCTGTCAGGAGCATTTTTATAAATTCCTTCTGGATGGATTACGACTTTTCTGAGAGAGGAAAATATAACTGAATCTCTTTCTAAAACTGTGTTGGACTTTAAAACCAGCATTTTATATGTTTTGCTCCACCCAGGGAAGCCTTTCTATCCAATCTATTTTTTTGAAACTTTCTGCCTCTGCTGCTACAGCTTTAACCTTTTTTCAGTGGAAATTTGGAATTTGGATAGTATTTCAAGCCAAAAAGTGTCACAGAAGGGAAATCAACGTAATCACCAGGATCTACTAGAATAAGAGGTCATTAAAGATGCCATGAATACTGCAGCACATACACCTTTGGGCATAGAATCCAGTTACTCTTTCACTGTTTTTATATTACAGTGTTATATTCTACAGAGTGAGTTCTGCCAACAGGTCAGAAGTGAAGGGAGCAGCATCCTCAGCTCTCCCCGTCTGCCTGCACAGCTATACAGGATTGAGCACTGCCTTGCCTACTTCCATTGCATACTGCCAATTATTATTTGCCAGAACAAATAAAATAAGGAAATGCAATCCAATATCTATACACTTGTTGGATATCTATTAATTCACATGTGTGTCCAAAGCACAGAGGTAACATTCCCATGGAACATTTGTGTCTGGCTCAAGACTGCAGGAAAAGGCTGCAAGATCTGAGTTTTCTCTCATTCAAACACTACCACAAAGCAGATGCTGATGATGCACTGTTCGACTTAGAAGTTTGTGCAACAGCAGTTGACAGAAATAAACGTCCTCTCTTAAGTAAGCAAACTTTATTAATTGTTACAACGTGCTTAAAAACTGGGCAGATTTTATTCTTCAGACTTTTTCAGAAAAGCACTAATATGCATTGCTAAGAGAGTTTTTACAGTCAAGGCACATCTAATTTTCCATCTAAGGGGAGGGGTTACTGTGGTAGGGAAAGAAAACAATAGCATGCTTGTAAAAGAGGATTTTCCACCAAAAAAAATTTGAATTACAGATAGCTAAATTTTTCACTTTCCAGTCCCAGATCACAAGGAGTGAGTAGTTCATGTTGCCTACTGTCTTTCTCTGAAAGGGAAATTAAATTAATAAAGTTTTGGAATTAGTAAAGCAGAAGGAAAAAATAAGAGAAAATTCTAACCGATATATGAGGATTTTTTTAGTTGAGCACTACACATCACCTTGATGAATACCCTGGGTAATAATCACCTTAATTACTATCTTCTATTAATGATTGTTACCTATCAGTGAACCTTATCTACTAACATGGATATTTATAAATATTTTCTGCATTAATATTTATTTCCAAATATTGGATGAATAAAAATGAACTTTGGAAAGTAAGGACAGACATTACGGCTGAAGAAGAAATCAAAACAAAAAAAAAAACCAAACCCCCTCGTTTTACAGCAGGGACTGAAAGTTCAGAGATTCGGCACTAGGGGCCACTGTAAGCCAAGCAACGTCAGGGAAATAATGTACACACTATGAAAATGTCCCAAGAAATCTATTAATGCAATTGCTAAACACTATTTTCAATTTCAGTGATTTCTACCAAAGCACAAAATTAAATTGTAAATATGAAGGAGATTATATTTTTAAGGCCCTAAGAAAGTCTTCAGTATTGTTTTTTCTTATTCTTCTTTGGTTTGTCTTTCCTTTTTAGCTCTATAGGGAAAGTAATAGCTGTTTACACAAAACCCAGACTTTTGTTTAAGTTAGAACAGGAAAGTAATGGAGGTGCATCACATGCCCCAGTGAAGTGTTGCATTACAAATACAATGAAAAGCTAATGAATCTTTTACAAACTAATAGCATGAATCCTAAAAAATATCCTTTGATTATCTATGCCAGTATCTTCTTTTTATTGGATTTTGTTTCAAAACCTTTTAATTGCTTACCTATGAGAGAGAAAAGGAGAAAGAAACATCTAAAATATTAATCTGACTTTTCCTATTGTTCTTAAGGTTCATTAGATTTAGTTGTAACGTTGTCTTATCTGTTAACTCATCCCATTCCTATAAAAGAAATGCCTGAATATCTTCCACTAAAGAACACAGGGGAAGTTACTGATAAAACACATGCTGATTTTCTGACCTGTAGAGTGCGTTGCTTGGAAGCCTTTTCTTTGAACTGATGCATCAGAAACAAAGCGGAGAAACATTCTGTTTCCAGTAGCAATAAGAGGATCTGGTATCTTATTGCCACATAATCGTCCCAGAATTGGTGATTTTTCACTTTCACCATCAAACACTTCCAAGTGGTCATAAGCACATTCCTGATGTTGTTCTATCTCAAATTCATTGAAGGTCTGGTGGGAAAAAAAGCAAAATGACTCAACGTAGTGCTGTGTTTACTGTACTTATGTGGTACATATGTACTGTCAGTATGTTTCAGAATACAAAGTAGATGTAATTAAGATGACAGATTTCACATTACTGCCCCTAGAAGCCTATAGCTTTGAATAACATACTAATTTTGAGAATGTGGAATAGCAATTAAGACAGTGCATTTTAAGAGGGCATCATCCAATCCCTTAGAAAGGGATTAGAGTCTTTATAGCCAACTCCATAAGAGTATATTAAATATAGACTGTGGTGGTCTTTCTGTTGAATTTGCACTGTTTGAAGAATTATTCCAAATTTCAGAGAACATTCAAAACAGAAAAAAAAAAAAAAAAAGGAAATTATTGGTTCCTCAGATAGTTGAGGAGTGATTGAAACATCTGCAAAATGTAACACACATACACACACTCTTTTTTTTTAAACTTACCTCACACTGCAACTAAAACCTTTGAGAATTACATTTCCACATGAGTGGTTATGCGTGAAAGTTATATTTTCTCATCTATTACCTAGAGATCTACTTTTTATTACTACAACACCAACAATATTTCAGTCTGCACCCCTGCACCCTTCACAGTAAGATCACATTTTGCTAGTGAAATCATTGTGAAAAATAACAAAATTATGTCGATTGTTTGTTAAAAAAACTTCGACTCTTTTGATGTCCTCAGATCTCCCAAGGAAATTCAAATTGCTGCCATAGCTTCAACAGAAGCTGAGGCTCACAAACGTTATTTAATTTCAAATCTGTGATCTTTCTTCTACACTTCAAGCCATTTATCCTAGTTCCTGAGTTCCTAGGGATTCTCAGTCTCTCTCAGTGTTCATGGCAGCTTGTAAGAACAAAATTTGGTCTATAAAAAATTGTAAATTGCAAGTTCTTTGGAGCAGAGTGTGGCAAAGTTACTTTTAAAAACGTCTGGAATTTAGATTTCTCAAACTTAGAGTGTCCAACTGAAGGCATTTCTGAAAAGTGTATGCCATGCCATACCCTACAGAAACTGTTAAAACACATAACAATTAACACCTGCTTTTCAAATACAGAATAGTGTCTTCCAAGACTGGACTAGTATCAACAAATTTATTTCAAGGGGACATCCAAGAGATTTCAGATAAGACTTTTTGACCAGGGTTAAATTTCAACAAGAAACCTAGAGGTTAATATCCAGTAATCATCTCTCATGTAAACACAGAGAAAACAATATACATTATATCTTTGTGAATTTTCAGAAATAACCTACAATTTAAAGTGAAATTCAAAATCTGTTGTGTTCAGCAAAATAGCAGAAAAACACCAAGTATAAATGCTCCCATGAGTGGGCATGTAGCTGACTGTTTATGGAAAAAAACCCAAACAAACAAACACTAAAGGATTAAGAAGCAATGATTAAAAGAAATAAAACTGAACTGTCAAATGCTGAGCAGATATCATAATTATGTATTCTGTCTGGTATACCAAAGCAAATCTGACCTACCAAATCCCTTGTGGAATTCAGTCAGTGTGAAATCTGATGGTAATTTATATTAACAGCTGACCTAAAGGAAATATAAAGACCTTAACACAAAGTCTTTTGCCCAGAGAAGTGAATTATTCAGAATAACACTCTTGTTTTGTGAAATGTGAAGAGTTGCATGATGCAGGGGATATAGGTTCATTTCACAGGGAAGTCTGAGGTTTTATATTAAGGGATTGAAACTCTAGAGGCAGTGAAAACAGCTGTACAGCAGTCCCTCCTGCTGCTCTTAAATTGTAGTCAGCCATCCTACTTTTATGATGCCAAGTACGTGTTGTCATTTATACCCAAATAAAATCTGATGGATTAAGAAAAAACCCAGAAAGCTGAGAGACTAACTGTAAGGGAGTTAGTTAAATATAGAATTGAGTCAAGCCAACTTGGAATCAATGGGAGCAATAGATGTGATCCAAGAGCAGCCTGCAGAAATTCGTTTTGTTTTAGAGGAAAATTGTATCCGTTTTGTTCACTTCTCATTAGTACAAAAACCCCACACTCTCTAGGAAGCACTTCTTACCATGAACTGTAAGAGTATATTATTTTTAATATTTGACTTATCACTGGGTTTCCTAAGCCTGCAGGGGGACAGCACATAATATATTGTGTCCCACAAAGAACAGAAAAAAGTCCTAAATCTGTTATGAGTCTAGCAATTGAACCTAGCAATTACAAAGAGAAATAAAGGAATCTGTGGTTTAAAGGAAAAGCAGATCTTAATATTAAGTCTTTCAAAAGCTTTAAATGCCTGATTTAGACAGAGACAGTCTCAATTTTTAAAAAAAGCAGTCAGTTCTCAGCAGTGGACTAAGAGCTGGCTTGAAAGAGGAAAACTGACAACAAACTTTCCTTAAAGTTTTACATAACTGAATAGTTGCTGCCAACAAGAGTTCACAGATGATTTAATAAAGTTGGTAGTATAATTAAACCACACTCCATCTTCCTGCAACAAATACTTTTGAATACCTACCCCACCACCATGACAACTGTACTCATTTTTATTGTCTCATTAGTGGGAATGGTATTCAGAAATGTTACATATACCTTCTGAACATCTAGCCCTTTCTATCTATAGCACTCAGCTGAGTAGATACGTTGGTGGCATTTATGGATAGCTGCCTGAATGGGACACTTAAGTCTGTCTCCTATAAACATCCGGCTGATTAGCTTATGAAAATATCTCTCTCTGCTACATACATTTTCAAAGCCATCTTTATCTAGACATTTCACTTAGAAATTCTGAAGTACATATCCATTTTTTCATAGGCTTCTTAATTACACCAAATGCTTAACTTCAGCCTTTTCCAGAAGAGACATTTCAATGATTACCAGAGTGAGAACAATCACAACGAAAGATTAATTTCTGCATACACACCCCTCTCAAAAAAATGAAGAACAGCCTTACAATTCATGTGGTTTGTTACCAAGAAGAAATCAATTCTTTTCTTGTTCAATTTGACTAAGTCAACTGTGAGGAGTAAACTTAAATATGGCATGAAAGTCCAAGAAGAAATATTTATCCATAGTGGAAGTATGGTATTAATATTATTGATATGGCATCTCACCATATTAGATAAAGATACTATACACAATTTAGTAGATTAACCACACTGGCCTGTACGGAAAAGTGCATTTCAGACTCTAAATCATGGAGGGATGTTTTAAAATTCTATTTAGTAAAATTCTGTCTGATTTGTCCAATTTCATTAGCAAAAGTAATTTAAAAACCTTTTATTTTAAAACAGACCATGTGATATTTCACTGAGGGAATCTGAATGATGGAATTTTGACTGCTGAGGTTAAAAGTACTGAAAAAGCTTTTACAGTAACACACCCATTCCTGGCTTTTAGATTATTCAGCCAAGATGAAGAATGCTTGCTCAGAAGTGGCAGTAAGAAGGCTGCCTGAATCAAAACCCTCTTTTTCACCCTTTGAATGGACAGAGCATGCACACCACCCAGTTTTCACCACCCCCACATCCCCAGAACAGTTTAACCATTTTCTGGTGAACAATTCCACATCAGCACCAGTAACAGGGGCTGCAGTTTTGGCTAAGGTCAGCAGTTATGAGATGACAATATCCCTTTCATCCCTGCATCAATTTTGACTATTGCTTCTACATCTCTGAAGCAGAGACATCTCTCTTCTTATTTGCTCCGAAACATTTGTTAAATCAATTTATCAGATTTTGAAATATGTAAGGCCAGCTTTTGTTGTGGCTGTCCCCCAAGTACTCTGGCTGAAGGAACACTGCAGGTGACCTCAAAGCAGGAAAGCCCCCTGGGCTTTGTACAGCTGCTGCATAACCTCAATAGATCTGAAAAGCTCCCTAAGATCTGCTAGCCTATCTTCAGCCACCAGTACTGTCCTCAGTCAGCTGGATGCAAAAGTCACTTAAGTCTACTTAGGCGGCTCTTCAGGTTATGTTAAAATTTGGAGATTCTTTTAAATGAGAAATGCAGATTCTTGGGTTTTGTATCTTTTCTTCCTTCTCAAAAAGTACAGAACAGAAATGCAAAAGGTGTGCGGAGAGGACTGTCCTTAACTACTAATTTGGCTTATTCTATATATTGGAGTTTGCATAAATAGCCTCTGCCATATTTGTCAAAACTTTGTCCAAATTTTATGAATTGCAACAGTGACATAGTAAAGTTTGACCTAAGGAAAGTATTCCTCCTGACCTTTGCTGTCCATAATATTTCCAAACACCACAAACTTAAATTCATAGTTCTATGATATTGAGTAGCCCCAGCTGGCCAGGAATGGACAGGAGTCAGCAGGTTTTTAAAACAGTTTACCTCTGGATTGCAAACTGATAGTAAAGTTTAGTAACAGTTTCATGTCACTGAGTAGTCATTTGAGAAGCAGGTTTGTTGGAAGAAAAGATAAAAAGAAGGTGTAGGAAGAAACTCACCAGTTTGACCCTCTGCCCGGGGGTGGCACTGATTTCCCACGTGCACTCCTTTCTGCTGGGATACTTGTCGGGCCAGTTGGGACTCGTGATGATGCCACTGGGACTGTGGATCTTCTGTTCACACTCAGCTGTGCCAACAGTGATAACATCAGTTAATCTGAGGGTCTGCATTCAGAGGTAGCCAGAAAAGTACTTTTTTTTTTTTTGGTCAGGGAACCCATTGAATAGAATGGATCTTTAGGAAGACAGTTAAGCACACTCTTCAGCGTGCACAATCATGTGCTTCCCCTTTGGCACATGCTTTATGGCAATTAACTTGGCATGCTTGTTTATTGATTGTTGTGAAACATACACTGTTGTTTACAAAGGATGGCTTTTTTTTAAAAAAAACCCAACACATATATAAAGGAATATATATAAGATAAGCTTTAAAATTTAATTTAATATTTTGCTATCTCTCCCATTCTACATACAAGTATGAAAATCCAAAGAGAGATCTTCCTGCTCCAACTTCAAATGGTATTTCTTGAACAAGTTATTTTTCTCTCTTTTTGGTAATTTTTATACGGCAGCTACCAAGCAATCATTTTGATTTCTAAACCACAGTTTCTAGGGACATATATACAACTACAGAACAGCTAAATCTAACCTGTGAGTATAAACCAAAACCAGCTAAGTCATTCATATCGTAACTGAATCACGAGAATGCATCTCTGTGAATAAAGAACTAAAACTTAAAGAAGGCAAGAAAGAAACTGGTTTTATTTTCGTATTTAGTTTTTTAATATTCTCAAATTGCTTTATAAATACCAGAGAATTATTCAGCTAGAATCCTTTAGAGCAGGCAAGTATCATTCCAACACCAGTGAAAATGCAAGTGGTTCACAAAGAGCACATCTTTACTCACAAATTAAACCCATGCTAGAACACAGCCTTGAGACATTACATTAGCTCACATGATATTGCATGCTTGAGGTTAATATGCAGATAACCTAACTTAAACCCCAAAGCCTACTGTTTTCTTGGAGGCAGCCACACCTTGAGACAGCAGATAGGAAGAAAGATGCATAGGCACTTGACTGGACTTTACACTGTCTGAATATATTCCTTAAAATAAACCCAGAAAGGGCAGATGCAGTTTCAACCTAACTGCTACTGAGAGGAGCAAATGACAGTTTTACTAGGCTTCTCTCCAGAAAACTCTAACCCTGTGTTTAATACAGCATTAAATAAATATTCTATCATAGCTTTAAATGTTCCACACTTCACAGAACTATTGAAGTAGCACTCCCTGCCAATGGTCCCAAGTTTTCCAAACTGCATTCCTGTGGACCTCAAAGTCAGCCACACACAAATGCTGAGGATGGAGGGGATGGGAAAGAGGGGATGGGAGGCTGTTTAAACCTAAATGTCTGAGCCTCCATTACCAAAATTTTTTTCTTTCCTTTCTTTTCTTTGGAAGGAAAGCTACAGAAAGCTTTCTGCAAGACAGTTGTAGAATCAACCATTCAAATGTCTTACTACTTACCCTCCTTGCAGTCATGTTTGTTTTCATGTAACACAAATCCATTCCGGCACTGGCAAACATAGCTTCCTACTGTGTTGATGCACTCATGCTGGCAGCCACCATTGTCCTTCGAACACTCATCCTTGTCTAAGAAATACACAAGATTGGGTGAGCATCACAAATACCAGTAGTCTTCATTACCAAAAAGAAACAGGTTTAGCACAGTGTTCGAGTCCAGAAAAGGATAAGCTAAGGCACAGTCACTCTTCTCAATTTGGCAGTTTCACGGTACCTTAGTTCTAGCCACTCATTACTCAGCCTGCAACCTTGCACCATGGCACAAATAGTCTGTCTTCTCTTTCTAGGAAATGAGCATTAGTTCCCAGGGGAGAGGAACTCTAGCAAAACAAACAAGCTAAATCAAAGGAGATGACAGTCACCAGCGTTTACTCTTTCAGGTGGTCTAGAAGGTAAAAATTTCATAAATATCTCATCCAAAGCTTTATTTCTATAAACAACAGGAGTGTAATTTATGGACAACACATAAAGTATTCTAACTTTATGCAAATTCCACAATTTAATGGTGGTATGCAGAAAGGAACATGTAGGCCAAACAAGGTTTCAAGCTCTGCACATTAAACATGTAAGAAAAGAAAGATTTAACATGAACTTTTTTAGTAAGTTGTTTTTTGGTTTTGTTTTTTTTTTTTTCCCCCCAGCAGAGTGACAGTGTGCTTTACTTTTAATGAATCTGGACATTACAGAACACTATAAAAAGAAAAGCATTTCATTGAAAAATATACAAAAGAAATTGGCAATAGTTATTTCAAAAGTATCTACGATATAGCATGCAGTTTTGTTTATTAACATATAATCCTTCAAAAGAACTTTTAGTGTGTTAGAAGCAAAGCAGAGAGTAGGGGAGGAAATATGACCTGCATTAAACAGCTACAAATTCATTGCATGGACCAAAGCCAAACTAGATTAACAACCTGTCATTCTAGTAAGAGGCCTCAGCTGCCACCCTTCTATGTCATTCAGCTGTTGTCATTTTGGGTGAGACTGGTCCATTTAAAAGAGACAGACTGCCTCTGACAGATACATACATATACACGTCTATATGTATGCACATGTATATACCTATATATGTATAGACACATATATCTAAGTCCTGAGATATAAAAATATATGCCTATATATATATATATATATATATATATATATATATATATATATACAC